GGAAAAATAAGTAAACATGGTTCCGTGGTCCATTCCAACATAAATATTAAAATCACAGAAACCGTCTTCAGAGTGATGTTACGCTTTTGAAAATTGTCACAGTTATTTCTTAGGTTTTCTTAACAAAAATGCAATTGCATCATTCATCTTATTGGATTAAGTTAACCCTGCACACAGTTTTTTTGTTTCTCCTGAAAAATGATGACAATTGAGTTATCCCCTTCTTCCGCTTCATGGATTTGGGCTGACAACCTTGAAGGACGTAAGGTGCAATGCATAAGAGGGGATAAAGGTCCTGGTCGAGGTCGATCGGGGTTGGGGGTCGAAAGCGATTTCACTTTCGCCATCAGCACCTTCAAAAGCATAGAAAACGACATAATACTCCGTCTAACAATTGGAACTACTGGAAAGTTGTCTTTTTACAAGTGATTTACTTGTTGGTATGACTGAATGGACAGAGATTCAAAGCTGAATTTTGGCGTGTGGCGAGCCAAGGGCATACCCACCGACCCTGCAAAATCTCAGCCGTATCAACCGAGCCCTGTAGGAGTAGTAGTCTGGACAGACGGACAGTCCAAGAAACAGAAAAAGTCAAAGAAACGGACTTAGTTTTTCAACCTCGCCCGAGTATGCCGCAAATCTATCGGCGCGACTTCGTTCCGCTGCAGGGGCGTTGATTTAGTGTCAAGGCAAGAAGACGGAATGACTTTTCTCTTTAAACGCATTGTACGCACCAACGTGCATGGTACATTCACGTGGGCGAGACGCACACATCATGCCGTGTCCGACCATTTAACTTTTAGTGTAAAGGGCTATGGCGGCGTGCAAATATTACGACACCTCTTTTAGGCCTCTTTTTGACCCCCTCCCCCTGTCCATCGGTTTAACCTAAGCTTCCCATGTACTTAAGATAGGACCGTCATCAGAGGCCGTACCCTCACCCCCCAAAAGTGATGACGTAATATTTGAACGCCGCCTATGCTATCGCTCAGCCAAAAATGTTCCACCCTCATTGTATTTTTCAGATATTGCGATTCACAGAGCCCGTATTACGTAACGGTCGGTGGACACATGACCACACAATGGCGTGACAAAAGTTCACGCCTAAATTTGGCGCTAAATGAGACTCGCGCCTAAAAACGGCGTGATTTGTGAGGCACACCATCATTTGGCGTGAATGAAAATGCGTTATATGAAAACAGTTACGCCAAAAACTGGCATGTCAAGATATTCACACCGAAAACTGGCGTGAATTTTAGAGCCACGCCGATTTTTGACACGACCTTTTCACTGAGATCCAAACGCTATGAGTGTAGCACGCATGGTGCAATGCATTCAGATATTGCACCATACGTGCAATGCCACAGCCATATTGCACCTTACGTGCAATGAGTCCCGAAAATGCCCTATGCTAAAGCATGGGAAGGCAGGCGTTGCACTTCACGTGCAATGCAAAAGCATTGCACCAATTGGTGCAAGGAAAACGTCTTCAAATGCATTGCACCAATTGGCGCTAGCGTTTGGATTCACAGTGTTGTTATGCCGTATTTAGACGTGACACTTAAATTCACGCCCCTAAAGGTGGATCTCCAATGAACACGGCGGCCGTCCGTCCGGCGTTTGTCCAACGTCCGCCCACTCTATTTCCCTACCTAGAGTACACTGGGGTCTCATCAGAATGACGCGCGATGATCATAGATCCTGCCAATGAGTTTTAAGTCACAAGAGAGCGATATTTCGTATTTATTTTGTAGCACAGAGGTACGACGGACGTCGGACGGACGGACGTTCTGTTCATTGGAGATCCACCTTACAACGGCACGAAGTCATGCCGATGTACATTCAGTCGATTTCAACTGAACTTAGTTTATTGGCGAGCGATAGCGAGCCCATGCCGTGTTTGGGGGTACCAAAAAGTGACTGGTCGTGCGTCTGTCTGTGTGTCTGTAACTCACTCACGTTTCTCAGCAACTACCGCACAAATAGTTTCAAAATTTCGCACCGGAAGGCTCCTAAATCTCCCCCAGGGGGAGTTTATCTTATATTCACGATTACTATTGTTTGAAATATTCAAAACATCTTTTTGAATTAGGTTCTTAGCGTGGTTAGGTTGGCAGTGGTTGGCGGCTCGTAGCAATTTTTCATACTTGCGGCCGCGACTCTCAAATACGGGACCTGGCAAAACATTGGCAAATAAAACAAACTAAAGAGCAGAAGGGCTTAGAAGTGAGTACGGTCATAGTTTTTCGATATTTTAGAATGATTGAAACCCCTCCGGAGTGTCAACTCAGTGAAACACGGAAAATGAAAGTGACAATTATTACGCGTTTTGTCCGTCCGTCCACCCCCTCCCCTCCCCCGCTACAGGGGTAGGGAAATGTTTTAGTCAGTGGAGTGTGTTTGATAATTGCAAGAATGATTTGGTCTTTTTAACCTTAGTGAGTGTATTTCCATTTATATTCACAGACACTATATTTTTTAGTTGTTTGCTTTGCTCAATAACACTTAAAAAATATATTAATACATTCTATGAGTACAAACCAGATGCTAATCTCGCCAAAATAAATAGTCTTTGCTGACTCTTGGCACTGATTCTGGGAAAAGGCTTCATTGCAATGCTGTGAGTTTACTATAGTACTAACCTTAAAGAAAACCATATCATGAGTGAGTGTAGCGCATTCAAGGTTTGACATTGACATCAGATTCAATGAGACAATTCACTGACTTGGTCATATGATTTCATGAGACGATTCTTTTAACTTAATCATACATTGTCTGCGACAACTGGTAATTTGTGTTGGTCATGGTTTGAGTTGGCTTTTTTTTTTTAATTTACTCAGAATGTTAGGTAAATACTTTTGCTAAACTGTTTCAAAGATTAAATAACACACCATGACTATCATTATGAATAAGATAAACTTGCGTTTAGCAATAAGTGGCCTCGACATTGGATTCTATGAAACGATTCATTGGATCTGACAGAAGGTCTTCTCCGTAAAGCAGTTGAAATCAGCCTGCCTGTAAATATGTCTCTTTTTAATTAATGCAGATAAATCAATATAGTTTAATCCACTAGTTTAAACTAAAAGGGAGAAAGGCTTTTTAGGTATTACTAATAACATTGCGTATTCATAACTTCAGTAACAAGGAGATATCGAATGGTAATTGAAGTTTTTGTGAATCGTATTAAGCAATTCAATGCTGGCTGTTAAATGTTACTCGACTGAGTAACAGGGTCAGGGTTCATGGTGCGACACCATGAACAGGAAACGCTCTTAAAAAACCTAACAACTGAAGACCCATATAAACTAGAATTACACACATGATTTAGGACCAAAATTTCCTCGGTGTTTCATTGCTTCCTGCAGTATTTGGTGTGCTGATCACAAAAATGACTTCCAATTTCATCCCAGACCTTTACTTTTCCAAATATTTACCAATTTTGGACCAAAATTTTTACATCGAGTTTTACATAGTTTCCTGCAGTTTTTGGTGTGCTGATCACGAAAATGACTTCCAATTTCATCTCAGACCTTTACTTTTCCAAATATTTACCAATTTCGGACCAAAATTTTTACATCGAGTTTTACATAGTTTCCTGCAGTTTTTGGTGTGCTGATCACGAAAATGACTTCCAATTTCATCTCAGACCTTTACTTTTCCAAATATTTACCAATTTCGGACCAAAATTTTTACATCGAGTTTTACATAGTTTCCTGCAGTTTTTGGTGTGCTGATCACGAAAATGACTTCCAATTTCATCTCAGACCTTTACTTTTCCAAATATTTACCAATTTCGGACCAAAATTTTTACATCGACTTTTACATAGTTTCCTGCAGTTTTTGGTGTGCTGATCACGAAAATGACTTCCAATTTCATCCCAGACCTTTACTTTCCCTAAAATTTACCAGACCAAACTTTTAAAATTGAGTTTCACTTTGACCCTGTATGGGCCTTACTTTGCATATATTCTTCACAATCTTCTACAAGAATACAGACGCATCGCTCGCCTACTACGCGCCCAAACAAAACGGCGCGTACCCCTAGTAAGCAGTTTAGGCACCCTGTAGCTAGAATAGGACAGATAGATCAGAGAAGTTCTGGACACTGTAAATGTCTTACGGTGACAGGCTGTACCAACATATTATGGTGGACATTTTCCCCATAATACCAGCGAAATTCGTCAAAATATTCATAAGTTCTGTGAATTTTCAATGCTTTCTTATAAAGTCATCTGCACTTTTTGGCCTGTCCCGTTTATTTTTTGTAAAACAAGGTAGGTTTACGCCAGACTGCGTCTTGTCGTAATAGGCTTCGCGATGTCTCGCTGCCTGTTCCTCCAATCCGCGCCTGGCGTACCTACCTTGGCCTGCGGGTTCAAATCCCAGTAGGGTTTATTTTGGACATTCTTTCTATTCAAATTTTTGCATTGTTTCTGATGTTTTTGAGGGCGTTGATGACGAAAATAACATTTATTTTGACCCCAGACTCAGGTTCAAATCCCGTCAGGGTTAAACATAGGCGAAATTTGCACATTCCCTAATGAACGGGACGGGCCAAAGTTGCCGATGTATATCGCTACTTTTCCTGTTATTCACCATAATATGGAGAATCTTCGCTGTACAGCATTTAGAGTGGACCGAAAGGCAGGAGCAGGAGCCGCCATCTCGGCCGGAAACTTATTTACAGCGAGTAACTTTTGTGGCGTAACGACTCTAGTGACGAAAGTAACTTGTAAAGTAGGTTTCATTTTCGTAATTTCTAGTGATGACATATACTTAAGCACACTGATTCGAATTCAAAGAGAAACTCGTTAACATGTGTTTTTGCGGTGACAGTGGCAGGTCTTGGCTTCCGGTTCGTGGCTCCCCTGAGCTTTGGGATAGTTTTAAATGGGCACTGCAAGGAAGGATTTAGGAGGCGCCGAAGTGGGGAAGTGACGGAGTGTCTCGCCCTGCCTCCACCAGTGCCTTCACATTCTGACACTTTGATTCTAGACATGCCGGCGGGACGCACATCCACCGTGTCGTGGCTCGCTTCCCTGCTCGTCTTCATCGCTGCCTTGGAGGTCGCCAGGTGTCGTTCTTCAGCGCATGTGAGTTAGCCGAAGGGTTACTCATTGTAAAGTGAAAAAAAGTGACTATTTGACATTTTTTAAATACTACGTGTTAGATGTCTCAGTTCATGGGTAGAAGTTCCTTTCTATTGCACAAACTCATACACTAAGAGTAGGGCCCCAACTCCTATTTAGTTTCTGAGTTATGGAGGTTTACGTAAACTTTAAGTCGTTTCTCCCAAATTCTCCTCTAGTCACAGGATTATCTACCTAGTCTTCATATTCTGGCAAATATATCTATCTTGGAATAGGAACAAGAAAGCGTTCCCCTTTTTCTTAACATCACCCTTAGTTTTTATAAAAAACCCAAAACAAACTTAAATAAGGCTAAATCTCTCAAATTTAAAAAAATACGATTTCAAGAAATCCTAGGAGTCACCAAGTCAATTTGATTATTGTGTAAGAGTGTGGAGAAAGAAAAGAAGTGGTGTTGTGAAGTTGTGGCTCAGGGTACTACCAATGGCAGTGGTACCAATGTGGTCGATGTGCCACCCGTCGAAATTTAAACTTGACAAAATAGAAATCAAAATGCTGGTAAATTCAAAAAATTCCAATGCTAATGTATTCCGCAGTGTTCTGACAATGGAACATCTTTAAAGTCCATCATTATTAAAATGTTCTTGGCAGAAAAGAGGCAGTAAATTAATTTTCACGGGTTGGCAACTAGTTTCTCGGCGTCTGCGCCCTTGCGAAAATCGCGAAGCTGAAAGCACCAGCAGTCGCGCATTAAAACTGCCCATCCATTGTTGCTGACGTTGAATTGTTTGGCTTGTTTCAAAAGGCTATGGTTCTCTAGTCATGTTTTCTTCAATTCTGTGTAATAGTTCTCCCTTACAACGTATCAACACCACGACGGTTGGTTTAACAAACTTCATAAACTCGGGAGGGATGGTTTCGAAACGCGGGTGAGTCTTGTTCGAGGAACATGAGCACTGCAAGTCGCGAGGTGGAGCGAAGTGGTCCTAGTGCTAACTGAATCACAACAACAACAAAATTGTTTTATTGACAGAAAAAAAAGGAATATTTGAGAAACTGTATGTCAGAAAAAAAAGAACTTTTGTTTTGCTAATTTTCTGTGAATATTTTTTTAGAAAGTCATCACACAAAAATTGAAAATTCGTTTTATATGAATTTTCATAAGCAGGAAACAAAGAAAAAACAAGAAAGAGAGCAAAGTTAATACAGATTTCAAATGCTACTGTTGGTTAAACTGTTAACAGGTTGCAAACCTACTGCGCATGTCCAAAAACACTCCAATCAAGAAGTATTATAGAGTAGTTGAGCTAACGCCGGACAAGAAGAAGAAAGGAAGAACAATGCTTCAAGAACATGGCCGCAAGGGGCTTTGTCGGCTGCTAGGCCCAATCAGGAGCCTCCGGCCGCCATGTTCTTGAAGCATTTCTTCCTTTCTTCTTCTTGTCCGGCGTTAGCTCAACTACTCTATTGGATAGTTCTACCCGAAAAACTGCGTTCGAACCGACACCAATTCTATTGTTGCATCTTGTCTACCTGCAGTCAAAGAAATTTTTCATTTCGAACGTGCTGATTTCAGCTTTTGGAGTAAGCTGTACAGACCCAAAAAGAAGCTCGGCTATTGGTCCGCCCCGGCTCGGCTCCCCCCACTCCCTTTTTTTCCCTTTGACGAGTCGAGTTTTGCCATGGAAACGGCGATTTTGACAGCAAATTTCTCAAAATTGGCCACCAACTTTTTAACCAGATTTCAGCATCAGAATCAGCGTTCAAAGTTCTACAAGTCTGCAAAGTCTCATTCAAATCGTATAGAAAATTTCCGAAATGCATAAAGGGCCACACAAATTGAATATCGGGCCGGCTGAATCCTGGGTATACTATAAGGCTACTTCGTGCCTAAAAATAGGCCTGCTAAAATAGCCTCTTCTGGACTGATATTTTCAATTTTGCCAACGCGCTCTTTTTTCTATGCAAAAAGAGATAATATTGCCAGAATCTGAAGACTAGGTAGGTAATCCTTTGTCGTGAGGAAAATTTGAGAGAAACGACTAAAAGTTTACATGAACCTTCATAACTCAGAAACTAATAGGAGTTGGTGCCCTCAACTTTGGCAATAAATTCACCTAATAGTCGTTAAGTTTTAGCCACAAATTGGGCTTGCTGTGATACATATTTGTAGGACATACTAGTTTCACTTTACAGTATCCTTAAAATGCACGGCGGGACATTCTGAGTTTTTGAGGTTTTGAGTGCTACTGTAGCACCTCATTTAGTATGCTTGATTCACAAGAATATGTCCACCGTATCAGGCAGGTTAGATCAGTGCACCAAATGGTTTTGTGGCGCCAAGTATAGCTGCTTTTGAAATGACTTACTACGAAGATTTGTTCCTTACAATGGATGGTAACACAAAACTAGTCATGATCGTGATTCTTCTTTCAGTAAAAACTCCCTCCGCTGTAGTTTCACTGCAGCAAGTGTTACTACTGCCCCCTGATCAGGAAGTCTTGGTTCACAGCAAGGCAAAAAGATGGTCCCAGTCTACTACGACATCGGGGCCTGCACAGACAAACAACATTTCGTCGAAGTCAACAACGTGACCACCATTATGGACGAGTGGGGTGCCTATTACTGCAGCGCAAGCGTCTTGTTCCTCAAAGAAATGAAGAGTGTGTCTAAGGTCAGAAAACCTGGAAAGGGGAGCCTATCATTGTTTTCCTGGCTTTTTCCGTGCCAGACCCAAGCACAGTGTGTCCAGCGTTAAGTTAAGCTTGAGGACGTTACGCATGAAACGAGTTACAGACTTGATATTCGCCCATGCATCCAGATAGGGGGAATCTGGGCAGATAATCCTGATGCGCTTGATTTAAGGCGTTAATTGATAACGCTTGAAAATAGGAAGTAATACTGAGCGTCAGTTTTACCAGTGTATTGCCCTTGTTTGGTTTAATGCGTAAACGTATTCGGACACATACAATGAGGAAAAACGAGAGTAATAACACACTGTGAGCGAACCGGTTGGGGGCACTGAAAGCGGACTCGCCCTGCTGGCTCGCCTTAAACCTGGGCAAGGAGTGCGCACTGCGCAGCTCAGTTGATCCGTGAAGCGGAAGAAAATGACTTAAAAGTCATCTCTTCAGGAGGATTAAAAAGTTGCAGTGTACCGTCAGGGGAGGTAACTAAGGATACAGGGGGTAATTCCGGTCCACACTGTTATTTATAACGTGTTAAGTTTCATACAATTAGCCACGATAAAAAGGCTATTATGATTCCTTCAAACTATCGCATCCATGGTAGAAATAAAAAAAAATTATCGCATTACAAATGCAATAAGTCTCTTAGATTTTGACCAGTCTGGGCCCAGATTATCTCAGTTTGGTGTGATAAAGTGATAACTGCGCTAGATAGGTGATTAATACGCTAATGCAATACAATATTTATCGCACTTACAGTGCAATAACCTTTGCATGCAGTCAATAAAGCAATAAAAATGTTATTGCTTTTTAAATGAGTTCATTATTTCACTTAGGAAACCTGTGCAGCTGCGGTCTGCAAGGACCGGCAAGCACATCCGAGTACCACTAGTTTCGCTCGGTGTGGGAGCGTCATAGAGGATTTTTAAAAAATGGGACTCCTACAAGCCAGAAAAGAATATGAAGCCCTTTTACTGAAAACAAGGAAGTTAAAACCCCCAACTTTGTTTGGGGAATGGGGACTCGTTCTTTTCTAAACGAAAAAAAAGCTGTTTTGATAATAGTAATGAACATTATTGATCGACATAAAAACCATTTGTGATCATTGAAATTGTGAAAATATGATGAGAAAGAAAGACGATTTTAAAACAAAAGATGGTTGCCATTGTTTTCGACTCGGTTTTCTTCAAAACATTTTGTTATTTCGTCATTATATAGGAAAATATGGTCATGTCCTAAAACGAATTCATGACAGATTTTCCTTTAATTCAGTATCAAATATAGGCATTGGAATGGTGTAAATTTTTCAGAGAAGCTGTGGATTAAATTTCACTCGACTGAGCACAATACTCGTTCTGGGGATAGGTTGGTAGACGGTAAAGAACGAGTAAAAAAAGGACAGAATAAGTCTGGTTAATAATTGGCCTGGGCCGTCCGTACCGGCCCTACAGCGGAGCTTCTCCGCTGTTCATTCCTTGCCCTTTAAAATGTGATAAAATGGAACGACCGTTTCGGACACGTTTCGTGTCCTTATATTGAATTGACGGCTTGATGCCTGGCCAGGCCTGCCCACCGTGTGACGTTGTCACCGGATCCTTCTTTCATAGTGTAGCACGCACAGCGACGGCGTCATTTTTATAGTGATAATCTGCTGCACTTCGACGGCACGGAACTCTGAATAAAGCTCTCAGGGACTTAACACCTGGGTTACATGGAATGCCACGTTCTGTAGCATGTATCGACCTTACCACGTCCACGCACCTTATTTTAGTCAGTCGAAGCTCGGAGAAATGCGCAAGTGACGCACAAGAATAATAAAAAAATGCCCCAAAACTTAAATTTTGGGATGAAAACATTCACTTGGTGGGGCACCTGCTCAGAATGAACCAAACTCGGATTGTTGGTCCCTTTCATCAATGAGCGTTCAGCAAACAATAACAATCAGAAACAAAGAGAGCATACGAAGTCAGAATCAGAAGCCTGAACATGTGCAACATTCGTTTGTAAAGTGGTAGCAAGCACTTTTCACTGTGGACAGTGTTTTCAATTCTACTGAAAAATGACAAAAAAATTGAGTTATCTCCTCCACTTAAAGGATCAGTTCATGAGCTCATTTCCACGATAATTCAAGGGGGGGGGGCGCTTTTGAGTGATGCGCAGTAACATCGCTTGTTTACAGCAATTTACTGTGTTTCTTCCGAGCAGCTGGTCGTCATCATAACAAAATGCACCGGCGGGAAAGCAACGAATCTTTGTGAGTACTACCTTCGTTGGGTGTGGACGACCGCCCTGTGTCGCTTCATCCCTGCAAGAGGCATGGTGTGGAGCCCCTTCTACGATTCGTTCGATCCACCTTTCAACTGCCCTGTTAAAGTACGTATAAAATAGGGGGCACAATATTCGTTCGAAAAAAAAACTCCACTGATCGCTTTTTTTTTTAGAGAGAGAGGAGGGGGTCTCGACCAACCGAGAAAAATTTCACCCCACTCGTGTGAATAGCTCTGCCATGGCTTTGTCATCGCTCAGCCAAAAAGAACGTCCCTTTTTCATAATCGATGTGAAGTGAGGCGATTTGCTAAAGTGAACTTATGACCCGAAGCCCTCATTAAGAGCTCTCCAATCTTGAAACTCCCGCGTAAGGTTTGGGCTGAATTACTTAACTTGAAAATTCGGGCCTTGTTAAAGTTTGTTTCGTACCTCATTTGCTACAACTTGTCACAGGTTTATTATAATATTTAAATGTATCCGATTCATTTCATGGAAAAACTTGACAAAATATTACCCCAATACCTTTTTCTTTCTTAAAATATTACCCCAATACCTTTTTCTTTCTTATGTCTCTCATTTCAGGAACGTGACATCACGTTGAAAGGAACGTAACCAAATATACGTTCCTTTGAGCATTGCGTCACATTCGTCTAAATGTGAATAAGCTAATTTAGGCGGATCAGCATCCAAGCGTAATGTGTGACACGATGCTCGAACGAACGTGACATTTTGTCACATTCGTTTGAACGTGATGTCACGTCCCTGGAATGAGAATGGAAAGTCATCACTAGGGTAAATCCACTCTGAAATTTTCAGAGTTTCTGATGTTATTGCTGAAATGCAAAAGTCTCAACTAGGATGAACAAAAACGCGAATTGTTAAAACGAAATGTATCCTGTGTGTTTCAGGGGCATTACATGGTGCGCAATGCGACCCTGGATCTCGACGCACTCAAGACCGTTCTCCCCGACTTGCACAAGCATATTTGGCCTGTAGAGATTCAGCTCTTCAATGAAAGCGGAGAACTAATTGTCTGTATGGTCCTGACGGCCGAATTTCGTCACGTCAAGGGAAAGGCAGTCGCTGGGAGCCCCAGTTGAAAGCCTACCAAGCATAAAGACCAATAAATTCGGCAGGGAACAAGGAATATATTCGTGTAGCTGTAGAGGAACTCTCCGTTCAGTTTGAGCGCCTAGCCGGCGAGTGATGCGTCCTCGCACACTGCGAGAAATATCTTAAGTGAATCCCGTCAATTTTTGGTGCCACCCTTTATACTGGACAGGCATCTTCGATTCGCATTTTGACGTTCGTGCACTGCGAAGGGAGTGCAGACCGAAAGTCAGCAACAAGAAACTGAAGAGCGTCGCGCGACCGTGCTAGGCGGTGGTGGTGGGCGCCGGCATAGGCAGAGTGGGGATACACTGTTAAAACACAGGTACATTTCTACAAAGAACTGCTCGTTGTCTTCGCAGTCTACGAAGGAAATCATTTATAATTCGAACACTTTTGTTTGTAATTGAAAGAAAAAAATCCTTCGCAGGCTGTGAAGAAGTTCTTCGTGGGCTACAAAGGATTTTTCCTTTGTATTACGAACAAAATAGTTCGTATTACAAATTTCCTTCGTAGGCTGCGAAGCCTTCGTTTTCTTTGACAAAGTATTGTTTTGGTAAAAATCTAAAAAAAAAAATTACTCACCCCTCACCGCCGCATAACTGGAGCCTTGGGGCACGGCTTTATGGACAGTCGTACGACCTTGTGATTTGAATTTTAAAGTTTTTTCACCAGTTCGGCCACTTCGAGTCGGGGAACCCACTCAAAATCACATTTTTCAAAAATAAGCGCAAGTCTAACCCAACGTGCTCCTCCGAGTGGCAAGCACGATGAGTTGCCTATCCGCACGGCGCTCGCAGCTGGTGGCCGCGAAGCACAGAGAAAGTCGCTCTACACTGCACGAATGAGCGACGACCATGTGTGTAAAGAGAGTACTCCTGACTGTGAACTCTCTGAACATTACTCCACCACCATCAAATAAAGGGTCACAGGATCATATTTAATTGTTCGCACACGAATGTTCTAAAACATTTAATTAAACCGAAATCATAGGTTCCACAGTACATGATCCACGAAGCGGAAGAAGGGGTTAAGTCGAGTTGATTCAGTGACCTCTTATCAGTCTATCAAGTAAACGTGAGCGAAAATTTGGTCCAAAAATAAGTGTGGTGAGACAAATCCCATCCTCTTGCATCTATTTATAGATGACATTCCCCACCTGTTCTCCCACCTGCAAGGTTCAGGCCTTTCAAAAGTGCACGGATTCAACTCGACTTACCCCCTTCTTCCGCTTCGTGGATCACATATTAGTCCGTTTTGATGATACACTACAACTGTCAAACGATGAAACTCAAACTTTCTCAAGTTTTCAAGCTAAGGAAATATACAGTTTCATGTAGGGGTTGCCGAGGGACACTTCATCACGCCTCGCGCCGGGGCTTTCGGCAGCGTCTTCGGATGGAGGTGGATTGGTCGGGATTGATGCACTTCGCGGCAGGCCTTGCTCCGCTCGCTCAGTCACCCAGGCCGAACGGGCTTGCCCCGTTGGTCGTCAGGAAGTATGAGCCATGCTGACTGTGGGGGTGAGAAGTCACTAAAATCAGTTTCCATGAAGCACATTGTCATTGAAGTTGTGATACAGTAGAATGTAAGGCGATCGGAAAAGGCACCCCACATAACTGAACACTAAAGGAATTCGGTGCTTTTAGCATCGTTTTTGACCGAATGCCAGCTGAGAAAGCACGAAAGCCCGCCTCGGGTCAGACGCTGCTTGAAGTCAGCCAAAACCACGATTTTTCAAAGGCATTTTCGACCGTTTTGATCAACTTCGAGACACTACTGCTCCCAAACTAAGGCATATAATGGCACTCCGTCACAAAGGCATGCTACAGGAGGGGTCCCTTGGGGTCGCGGAAATTTTTGACTACAAATGTGGGGTCACGAGCCGAAATAAGATGAGATCCGCTGAGATTCGTAACAGAACCGTATAAAAAAAGAATTTAAGTAGTTTATGCAATTAAATGCTTGAGTTGTTTCTCGAATCATCTGCTCCAGTACATTTACACAGCATAAAATGCTTTTTAAACCGAGTTATTCTGACCTAACCTCCGAAATCGAAAAAAGTGAGATAGGGTTGACATAACCGATTAGTTAATGCTGATGAGGTCGACAGCAGCTTGTAATGGAGATTTTAAGACTTCTGTAGGACATCCGAAGAACAACTGCTGGAGGAGATAACATTCCCGACGATGTTACATTTAATGTGTAGGATGTTATGAAAAGCCTTAAGGCTGTTACAAATCACCCCATGTTGGGACGATTCGTAACAGCATGCAAGGGTTTGGAAAGCGTCTTAGATTTCGAAGATTACAGATTCCAGATTGATCCAACACAGATGTATAGTCTAGATAAAGGGCCAGGCTGCTCATCTGGCAGATATACAGAATAATCTTTTTTTGTATAGAGAATTCCGAAATATGTTACAAATCGCCCCACTCTCCCTTATCCAAATTCCACTTCGTTTGAGAAATCACCGTGAACCTATCAACGAAGTAATAATACACTTTTCAAAATTTTCCGTTATTAATCCTTCTTTTATGATCATCTGCATCAATCGAGTCTAGACCGCACCAAACGTGGTCTAGACCACACCAACTGATGTGGTCAAAACGGCACCCATTTGACGACACCAGTTGGTGCGGTCTAGACCACGTTTGGTTTTTCAGTGTAGAGACATTCTCTGTCAACCACTCACACGAGAGCGCACTGTCATTCCAGTAACGTCGTAACGTCACGTTGAAACGAATGTGACAAAATGTCACGTTCCTTTGTAGATTGCGTCACATGCTCAATTTTGTGCAAAGCTTATGCACAAAAAAAGACATGATAATTTAGAGTCTGCGAGAGAGACGGTTTTAGTCAGGTAAAAAAGCCTCTGTACGTTCCAATGTTGTATCACCCCGCAGATCACGGCTATACTTTCACCCTGAGACTTTAGAATCTCATTACCGAGCCAATATTACCGACCCATCAGGCGACGTGGTGGCGCAGTAATTGTGAGATCCCGGTTTGAATCCGGGATCCCTCCTCGGGAAAAAACAATTCAGAGGTTGTTCGTCAACGAAATTGACGTCACATCAGGTTTCAACGCTACGAAATTATATTTGTAAAAATTTTGGACTTCTTGCTTCAGTTTTGTAAACACATTAACTAACCAGCATGTTCGGTAAAAACTACCAGAAGAAGTCCTGGCGGCATTGTAAGGGTAAACTATAAATCTGGTACGGTTTACTAGACTGAGGCCAACTGGACTGTTAAGTATTTTTTACCAGAATTCTAGTTGAGTTATATTCTATCAGACAGTCTGGTATTTGGTACCAGGATTCTGGTTATCGTTACTAGACTTTTTTTTTCAATGAAGGTAGTAAATATCTTTTTCAATCGTTATCAATAAAATGAAACTATATATACAAAGCACTGGTTTATGGTCTGAGCGACAGCGACGCCAGTAAAGTTGGATTGGGTTGAAAACTTATGTCAGGGTGTGTGTGCGCACGCGCAAACTCTTGTGAACATTTTATGCATAATTATGCATTTCTAAGCGTAGTTATGCATGCACAGATATGTAAAAGGAGTGTATAATATTATGCAAAATTTCGTACATTCTATGCATTATTAAATGTACAGTTATGCTTAACATTACACTTTCCTTACGTTCTTTTCTGAGCATGCATAGTTACGCCATGAAAAGGTCGAAATTAGTGCGTGAGCACTACTCCTCCTAAACGGCTCTGCCGTTCCAGCTAAGATTTTTATCACCACATGCCAAAATTCAGCTTTCTACTACCGAAAAGAAACACTTAAAAACGACAGAAAAAGGACAACTCTTGTTAGGCTTTCATCCTTAGTTTTTCATAGTCTTATGCGTTTTCGATAGTGTTCAAAATTGAATCCATTTTGACGCCGGACCCAGATTTGATAAGGCCGCTGAGCCCGCACTTGACTACAAGCAAGAATCTGCATATTAAATTTAACAGTTGTACACAATTTTTATTAAATTCGGTTCCATAATAAATTCCAGGAGTTAATCTTAAGGATAAGATCTTTAACGTAACTCTTTAAATCTAGCAAGAACACAGTATGTGAAAACAAAAATGGTATTTATAAATCGAGCATATGTGGAAGGCACATAGTGCGCTGAACATCAGAATAATGATTAAAGAATGTTTTTAAATCATACCTAAGTTGCATTACTTATTTCGCGCGAAGTTGCGCACTGTCCATTGTATAAATCAACGTCTACGGAAGGTACTACTCACCAGCCGAATGAGTTCAACCGCAAGGCCCGATTAGTCAGTGGGCTGAGAGGGCGACACAGCTACTTGAAAGCAGTTGCAGCCAGCCTTTCTTTTGTGAGACGAAACCGGTTGCTTTGAACAATCCGCCTCGCTGCTGCGACGACCCCGATCCCGACAGCACCAAACGCAGAGGCACACTGTAAAAAATTCCGTACTTTTGTACGGAAATGGTACAGAAAAATATTGTACGGAGGTACGGAGAAAAGTACGGAACGTTCCGTACTTGCCCCATATGAACCAATGTAAATGGGTACGGAAAAAAAGTACGGAACGTTCCGTAGTTGGCAAGTACGGACGGTCCAGGCAAATTATTGACCAGACATGTTCCGTACTTTTTCCGTACTTTTTTCTCACAGTGCAGAACACATTACAATCCTGTTAACGATCAACTGATGTTAACTGACACTAGATCAGAATGTAGTGTTTTCAGGCGAAGCTCCGCACGGAACGAGTGTATTTCAAAATGTATGCTCAATTCCGCACTGCAAGGAACAGTTTGAATGGAACAACAAAAAACTGTTCAATAAAAGTACAATAAGGGATTGTGTAAAGTACAACGAGAATAGGGTACTTTCGTAGAATCCTGAACCGGAAGCAAGCAGACCAGCAGACGCCAAATTGGCCGGAAACTAACCTCTCTTTGGATCCAAAACTATAGCCGAGCTGTACAAATATTGTTCGCGAAACACATATGCACTGCAAACAAGTATCAAACGACTGTTTATG